ACAAGTGAAGAAGTGGTGAACGTGCCTCTATGATGAAAATGTGAAATTGATTGCTCAATGCCACCTTGTTTCAAATTCTAGAGAAACTGAAAAAATGTTGATCGAGGTTTGATTATCACAATAAAGACTAGCTCAAAAGTGTTTGGTCAGGGGTGCTGCATGACTAACTATGTTTAGACACGGTTCTTATAATCAAAATGGCTCGTTTTGTCGGAGAATATTGATTCAAGACGAGAAAGGTTCACTTTAACAAAAAAAAAAGGGAATTAAAGCAGGGCTTTTTGTTACTGCAAGAAACTTCTGGAAAAGAGAGATCTTGAACACAACGTTTCAACACGATTTTGGCAATCTGTCACATTTATTAGTTGGTAATACTAATTACTTATGATAACTCGATCTCTGTTCCGTATGTTCATTCTGGCAAAACTTCAGAGAGATTTTCCGATCTCTTATTTATTTCATGTATCACACATAGAAGTAAACACGCTCGTTAGTTTTAAGTTCATATCGTAATTCTTTGGATGCCACTTATTCTATATACTGATTATCTGAAAATAATGAAGCGAGAAAAAAATCTTTCTTGATATTTGTGAGTAAATGTCATTCCTGTCCGTCAATTGTCTCAAAATAATAAATTGTTTATCTCCAAAGCAAAGCGTCTAAACATTGTAAAATTTCCCGTAAAGATTACATGAAAGCATTCACTTAGATCTCTAGAATATTTTTATTAAAAACATTAAAGGTCACGTAATTTGTGCTCGTAGATTTAGATGACATCACGTAAAAATTAAGAAAGGTATGGAGACCAGGTAGAAACCTGGATCCGGATAGGTTTAAAATGGATGTCAATCAGTGTTGCCGCTTCGTATCACCACGGTGACAATTTGACGTCACATGAGAGCTCGTGCGGTTTTCCTATTGGATACTTGAACTGGAACGAAATGGCATTTTGGGTGCTCTGTTGTAGTTTGTAAATCGCCAATACAAATCTAAACGCATTGAAAGAAACCTAACAATGCAAGTTTCTCATCTGTGTTGCTCATTTTTTACGAATGAAGGCAAACAATTTTTATTAACCGTTATCGCAGGATGTTGGATCCCACACCAGAGAAATATAAAAGGAATTTTAAAACTACGATATCATGGCCTCGCCTGACCTCCGCCGGCATTTGGTTTTGACCTCTATGGATACGGCCGTCTAGACATGTGTACCCCACGTCTCTTTAATTTGGATTTTTATCCGGTTTTTCCCCTTAAACCAAAACCAACGTATTGGGCTCAAGACTGTTAGAAATTGATGCAAAAAGGGCCCTAGAATCGAACATTACAACGAGATCTCGATAGGTAGTCGTCAAAGTTGAAAACGTTGGCGTAACGTATTCCAGTTTTTTTTTTTTTTTTTTTTTTTTCACGCGGCTCCTCCTAACGTAACACATTCTCATTTCCTAATGGGATTCTGTCATCTATTGAGGACTGTTCTTCAAAGTGACGCCAATATCATAAGTGGTTTCCGTATGATCTACACGTACAGACCTTGTTTGGGTCTTCGTCATTTCCGCTTCTGTTGGCCACCTTAGTTTCCATGCAACAGTGGAAAAAATCACTGGTTTAACGAGCCTCGCTTAGTTTTGCACAGTAGCATCGAGAAGTGTAGTAAAGCCCTGTAGTAGAGATGCGTCACGGTATCAACTTCTCAAATTCCTCTGAGTTCCGTAAGAGATCAGCATGGGCCACACGTCACGCTAGCAGGCAAAATGTCAGACCGTTTGTGACTACTGAACGATGGTTTATGGATCTTTGCAAAAAAAAACTCGCTCGCCAACGCAGTTATAGCCCGATCATGCATATAACAAATAACAAAACGGAACAAACACCAAAAAGGTGTGGATTTTCACGGCGGAATTGGAAATAACCCCTTTTGTCGATATGTAGAGACATTTTGGCATATATGATTTCCTTAGTTTATATTAAGCGTCAGAAAACAAGTGAGGTCAACTTTACAATGAAGTGACAAAGACGTTTTTCAATACCTCGCCATTGTAGTCAAAATATACATTTTTCTAAATAAATATGACTATTTGAAGCCAGATATATATCAAATTTAACTTCTTCAGTCCTCAGCAAGGCGGGATTAAAGTCTTACTCTGCAAATCTTATTATAAAAAAAAAAAGGTCACTAGGATTAAAAATGTTTCATTCCAGGAAAGAAGCTTTCAGCAAAAATAACATTTCTCGTAGGATGAGGAAAGAAAATGTACATAAAAATGTAAGTGTGACCTTGGAAATCAAAATGCAACGTTCATGGGCCATTTCCAAGTTGTTGTGGCCTCTGTTTCAAAACAACTTCTCGCGTACAGAAAACGTTTCGTGTGAAAATGAGCTTGATTTCATGAAAGTGAATGGCTTTGCAGGAAGGCGTCGTTAAACAGAGAGGCAAAAGCCAACTCGGAAAAGCGCTCATATACATAACATATCGATCTGATTGGTCAGAAAAAAAGTATGAAGAAAAATCTAGTCGTTCAAAGGAATGTTTTTAGATAACCTTTGCTCGTTTAGAACACCATGATAGAATAGGTGACTGTATATCAGGTAATAAAAAAACACATATCATTACAGAAGGTAAATATATAATCAATTACCGTTATGGCTGGCACACCATGGCATAACATGAAGAAGAATGATTTTGTTTTCCTTGTTTTATATGGGCGTCACCTCGCCGGAAACCGCAAGGAAGAATCAAAACCTTATATCGCGTAAATGCTTTTGTCGCATTATATAATTCGCTTTCAAATGACCTTTCTCTTAACTAATGGTGATTACTCAGGCGGCTGGCATGAAGCGACATGCCAAAGATATTGAAATCACGTAGTGACAGATAGTGGTCGGACACGGGTCGCTTCATTTATTTTTGAAAGAACTTAGCTGTGAACCAATTAGTTCTTGTGTTAGAACTTTCAGCTTGTTTTACACTGGGTTTTTGGACGATCTGGTCGATTCACATTTGAAGCAGTCTTCTATGTTGCGGGCAAAACATATTTATTCCTCATCAAGATCGCTTATTGAACGGTTCAGTCTCTGACAATCAACTGACTTGCCCGCCGGGCCTGACGGAGAGTCTAATTGTGGAGCTAAAAGAAAGCGACAAAAATAACCGAAGTTTGAATTGACAGTGAAGCTACTAATGGCTACAAGAATTCTACAAGTTTGTGTTTATCTGTGGTTCATGCCTATAATAATGACGTCAACGTTTAGAGGAACAGTCAGGGCTTCAGGAGTCAAACAAAATGGTAAATACGTCTAAAATAACTCAATTTCTTGTATTATAATTTGTATCAACACAATTCATAAAGTTCTCGTTTTAACCTTACAAGCCTGCTATTCGAAAATTTTGACATAATAATGCACTCCGTTTTGTTTTGCTTTGAAACACTGTTTAAAATACTGGAAATTACAAACATGCTTTAGTAGTAAATTGATGTAAAGTTGCCGGATATTCCGGCAGAAAATTGCAAATCTTAATCAGTTCTCGAGCCGCACTGCACTACAAAAACTGGACCAGCATTAAGAGAAATGGCCTCTGTCATGCCATGTTTATGTTTGTTTATAATTTTCTTTTCTTCTAAGGACATGACAGAAATTTAATCGAGAATTGTCATATTGGTTACAAAGATAAAACAAAAAGATAGCTGTCGCTAATGTCTGATCACTATTTTTCGACTGACTGTAAACATGCTACGCGCACTGGCCAGTTATGTTTACACTGTGTAGCTGAGACGAGCTTGGAAACTATCTACACCCACTGAATAAGTTTACCTAAAGATTTACGCTTTGTCGTGACTTTAACCGACAATCAACCGGTAAATTTTACGCCGATTAAATTATTCAACCAGAACGAGCTATGTATTATACTGAATATAAAAATTTTGCTCAGTTCTCGCACAGTTATGTTGATAGTGAGGTTGAACCGAAAGTTCACGAACAATATGATACCAGTTGGCTATGTAAGGCTTTCCTTAAATGGAGCTGGTGCGAGATTAGACCGAAACTGACGAGCAAAGCTAATGGGTTTTAAAAATTCCCTTAGGTAAAATTAGCACGAACACAAAAACATATGGAAAACGATTGAATGATTGATTGGAAGCTTTAAATATACTGACCAAAAAAATAACCGTGAATCAATCAATAAAGTAACTGAAAAGTTTTAACATTACTAGAAAAAGATATTCTGATGGCGCTCAAGATCATTTGTATGGCACAAAAAACTAGTTTCTATTTCTTGATGACATTACTTTCCATTTGCGGCTGAATCATATCAAGTGGTTCGCTGTTTCACAAGTGAATAAATTCACTGAACTGAACTAACAACAGTGTAATTATTTTTGACTGAATCAGATGAGAGTGGGCGAAATAAACTCGCCCAGGATTTTCAAAGTCAATTGTTCCACCCGTTAACTAATCCTTTGTGGCCAAGATTTCCCTCCTGAAAGAGTATTAAAAGCTCAGCGAAACATTACAAGTATGTCGTACAAAATGCACATCAAGACTATGTATACGCCATGATTTCCTAGGCCGGATTTTCGACTGTCTGAGGTTTCTGTTGGTAGGTTTATGAGCGTAAAGCCTACGTTGGACAAGTCAAAGGTTGTGTATGAGTTTGAGAAATTTATTGGCTATTAAAAAAAAGGTAGTCAGTTGTTTTGTAAGAAAACTGTTTGACAAACTTTGCTTTGACTGGTAAAACTATACAAGAGCTCCTAAACTAGCTGTAACTTGAACTAGTAGGTCACAGTTTTGTAGTGGATGTTTTAGGATCTTAGCTTAAGTGACTACTCGTTAGGTCACGAGAGCTCTCCAGATCCGCTGTTCTGTTTCAAAAAGAACCATTTTAAAGGCATCCAGGGATCTGAAGAATGATCGAGATTGATTGAAACAACTTTCAGAAAGGGTTCGAACAAGGAACAGATAGAAGAAACCCAGCATTTTCACCCAATAACTAGATAAAACATAAGAACAAAGATATTGTTCTTTAATGTCGATAAGATCTGTTTTATGTTGTCTGCTAGCTATTTAAGGATAAAAGTAGACTAATTAGTTGAATATCAATGCGTCAGGTACAGTGAAACTTCGACATAACGAAGGGCCAAGGAACTGCAAAAAATAAATATGTTCGCTTTGACGAGGTTTCCTTGTATCGAGGTCCTTTTCCATACATTTTACTACTGCTGGGGCGAAGAATGTCGTTCGTTATACCGAGGACTTCGTCATATGGAGGCTCGTTCGTTAAAGCTGAGGAGCCATGTACCCGGGCCATGTACCAGAATAGCACAAGCAATTTGTTAAAACACGCAATTAGGAACACGATATATTTAATTAACGTTATCAACTTTTGCTCCCTATAACCTCAGCCCAAAATGACATACGAAACTAAGCTAATTTGGAAAAGAAATCTTCAGACCGAAATTTAGAAGCGGGAGTGGGCATAGAAAGGGTGTGTAATGCGTGAAAAAAGACATAAAAAAATTGATAGGATGATTCAATCATTAATGGATGAAATCACTCTGACCAGATTGACTATGAGTATGTATGTTTCGTTAAGTTCCCTTCTCATTGGTCTTCACCAGTCCACTGACCGCGCTGAAATACAAACCCAGTGAATTGCAAATCAAATCAATCAAATGTAGTTTCATGTATTTTTAGGAACATTATTTTCTTACGTAATCTTATTTACTTAATTAAAGCGGCGTTAAGGACTGACAAGATGTGCACTCTTACTTTTTTTGTAGGAATACGTTTCATAAGAATATTGAGGCTTAAATATGCGAAATTTTAAGAATATTTTCAGAACAAATGCGAGGCTGAGGTTTTGAAAAGAACATAATTTTGCGTTGAAAATTTCTAAATACAATACAATTACATGTTTTTAACTAAACTGTATAAAATTCGGTATAAAATAAAATTCTGTATAAAAGCAACAAAAACAGCACCAGCCAGTATGGTCGATGCTAACAACATTTCTGCAAGAAGTTATTTGCGTCATATTAGGCTTAAATGCCTGCAGACTGGCTTCAACAGATACCGCGGAGGCCATTTTAAATTGGTAGGGCTAAAACTCTGGCCAAGAAGGGTCACCACTATTCCTCCGTTTTGTTACTTTCAAGTGGTAAAATTAATACATTCTCTATGTCATCTGGATCCCTAAAAAAATCAACCCAAGCAAAAAAGTGATAGGGCTGTAACCCT